CACTGCATGTGCGCGCTCGTCTCGTAAAGCCGACCCGCATCTAAGCGATGTAGCGTGCGACGAGACGAGCTACGGAGATTTCTCATTGTCGCCCGTCGCATCGCTCGGTTTTGGGATTTCTAGAAAACGTCGCTCACCGTCTTGGTCGCTTGCTCCCTCGCTTCCATGCGGTTTGCCTCGTCGCGCGACTGACCGAGCGACAGCGAAGCGGGTCGGCGTCACTTATTTCGTCGCTTGCCAAATCGCTTACATGCGGTTTATAATCAATTCATTTACAAGCTCACAACATTGAACCGTTGGCACCTCGATATTAAGTATGAACTGCGTGCAAGCGATTTGGCGAGCAACGAGACAAGTGACGGTGACCCGCTTCGCTGTCGCTCGGTCAGTCGCGCGACGAGGCAAATCGCATGGAAGCGACGGGAGCAGGCGACGAAGACGCTGAGCGACGTTTTTCTAGAAACCCAAAAACCGAGCGACGCGACGGGCGACAGTAAGAAATCTCCGTCGCTGACTCTCGTCGTTGTTGCCACCGCTCGTCTCCTCGCACGCTAAATCGCTTACATGCGGGTCGGCTTTACGGAAATGAGCGCGCACATGCAGAGAGAAGCACGACTGGATAGCCTTACTGCGTCAGTAGAGATTTGCATATGTCGCAATGGTAAAGACTGCCATTTATTAGCGAGAAAAACGTTAAAATGGGATGAACTTATATGGTCTCCGAAGCCATAATCTTGGATCGTCGATCCATTCGCTGTCCGATTCCACTTCATAAATAAGAAACTACAAGAGCTGTTGTTGAAATATAGATATCAAATGATTAAATGAAAGCTCGAAATATCGAAAAGACCCAAAGAAAACACACAATTTCAACGCGGAACGTTAAAGAACACGAAAACAAAGCTCCGGTAGTGGCCTGTGCCGCACATAACGCGGAGGAACGGCTAGAAACTGAAGGTCGGCTATGGCGGCAGGGTCACGTGACGTCAAGATGGCGGCACCCATGAAATGTTGCCTGAAAGGGTCTATATGTTTGTGTAATTTTTCGACTGGTTACTTACTGGTTTAGGAGATTTATTGCATTGTTTGAGCTCTTTCGCGATCGAAAGTAGGGATCGAGCGCGCCTACTTTTTGTTTTTTGTATCGCGGCTCGCGCGTCCGATAAGCATCGTCGCCGAGACTACTTAAAGGAATGTTCTCTTCGAAATAAACCCTTCTTGCAAGCGCAGTTGTTGCTCTCGCATCGGTCACTACAATATCGGAGTTATGCAAAGTATAAAAATCTAAAATTACTAAACGTTTTAACGAATTAAACAACTCTGAACCAGAATTAGAGCAAACGGAGGTCACAGGGAAAGCAAAATATCCTCATAGAAGAAGGCTGAGAGAAAGAATGTGTATTGCAGACTCCGAAATGTGTCATTCAACCTTTCTTCTTCATAAGTGAAGATGCAGGAAAGTTTCTTCTTCTTAAGAATGGGGTCCGGTGGAGTTCGTCGAGGTTCGTTCGTGGTTCGAGACTCTGTGGATTTTTGTGTGGATTTGTTTTGTGGATTGATTCTTTTGAGCGGAGGGATGACTCGTGACGATCTAGGACCTTTGTTGACCTGGTTTTGAAGAGGGCGTTGCAAACGGCGAGGAGCTATCGCTGTGTAAACAAAAAAGATTTTGTGAAATAAATTGTCAGTTTAGCTTAAGACAGTGTGTGTGTGTGTGTTTGTCCATTGTTTTATTTCAGCTTGTATCGGCTATAAGTATGAATTTACTAACAAATTTGAGATATGCTGTCGTTATACTGATTATGCCAAAAAGGCAAAACTTGAACTACATTATCACGCAGCGCCAGCTGCGGTTATGCGAGATGAAGCTTATTGAATATATGATATCATACCACTTGCCTCAGTCTAATCAGCATACAAGATATACAAAAAGGCGTGGCGAAGGTGGTTTAGTGATGAAATATGTATTTTCTAAAATATGCAAATATTGAGCATTCTAGCTTTTTTTTTTCTTTTATTCTGATGTAACACGAGGGAGAAAATTTTATTGGTGAAAATAATTGGAGCCCGCAAAACCTTTTACCATACCTAACCGAAAACCTTGTTAATCGTTAAAACGCTTTACATCGTGGGTAGTGAGAAATGTTTAGCTATACCTAATTGATAATGTCTGGCATTTCCTCCGAACTTGAAGTAAAACGCTTTGCCACTTTCGTATTTTGCTCCACATTCTCGCTCTTCTAGTTTGTATTCCTTCATCGCGTACTGCTAAAAGGGGGGAGGGGAGGAGGGAGTGCAACGATTTCTGGACTTCGGTCAAAAATTTGTGAAAGTTGTCCTCTGACACTTCTAAAGTAAATAACATAAAACCGATTTCGCCTACGTGTAATAGTTGTTGCGTAAAAAAAAGATATAAATATTGGCTTTTCGGGCACCCCTCAACTCACACCCAGTCTTCAAGGACACGCGTGGTCGCACTCCTAGTGACGTAATTCGGGGTGCCATGTGGGTTCCCGTGTGATCTCTTGGAGGACGCTTCCGCTTCCTTTCTATTCTGACATCAGCGGGTGTTATGCTGCAGCTTATTTATTTTTCATTTATTACATGTACCCTCAGGGCCTTTGGCATTGAAGAGGGGAGTGGTTACAAAAATGGTGTTGAAGTAAAAGAAAGCAGTTACTAGAAATACAAAAAAAGGGCGTCTATTCATACAATATTAGCTTAGAGACGAGCGAGGTCACTTAAGCTTCTCGCTGTAGTTCCTTAGGCTGCCACTCGGGGCTGCAGGTGGGGGGAAAATCCCGACTTTTGCTTTGCCATGATGCAGCGGAATTGCGACATTTGTTAATGAATGAGATGTTTTCTCTATCCTCCGGGACACGATAAACAACGTAAAAATGACCAGATGCGAATTATTCTAACCTTAAAATCGTTACAACCCCCCCCCCCCCTTTCCCTTTAAGGGCTGGAGGACCGACATGCGGGATACAGGCTTCGATCCATGTTTTGTTCAGAATTATGTTAAAAAAAAAAAAAAAACGAACTAAAGAGGTTCTTGATAAAAAAAAAAGGAGTTAGAGGCTAATTTTGGAGTCTCTTCATCCGGTCACTTTAAAAAGCATGTACATATTCGCCGAAAATGTAACGAAACGCGAGAAAACACAAAACCTCCGACCAGTCGTTACGTCATACTAGAATCTTTCGGCCGCCAAGCGCGTGTCGCTGGTGTGGGCAGGGCGTGCAATCGCAAGCTTGCCAGGCACATTCCCCTGAACCACGGTGTAAGATAATACTCTTCAGGTGAAGACAGCGCGCTCCTCGCGACGTGCCCGATAAAGTTCGCTCTTCACTCTCTCTCACTATGGTTTCAAGAGGCGCCGGCAGGTGACTCGTCGACCCGTGGGCACGTTCAAGACGGCTCGTGCCGCCTCATGCACCACACGCGCAGAGTTCCAGGGAGGTTGTCGCACGTGCAGAAAGACCACGGTGTACCGGGGTGGCATGGCAACGAGATCATGTTTTTTCGCCCACTCAGAGTTTCGCCGTTTGGCCGCCGGCGACACTGTCAGCCGCGGACACGGCGGCAGCGGAATGATGCAGCCTTTCGGATGCCCGTCGAACAAACACTATCTGATTCCTCGCGCCGCGCGTTCTGCCCCGCCGCGTCCTTACCCAAAGAGTGGATCTTACACCGTGCCCTGAACTGACAGCAGCCGTGACGTATTTTTCTGACCATTTTTAAAATAGCAAGAACCGCCCTACAATATGTGATGCTACGATTCTGTGTGGATACCTCCTCCTGCGTTCCGAGACAGTAAGTGTGCCGCTAACGTTAGCCATCGGCGATGCAGCAAACGGCACCATCTCGTCATTGCGTACCCCACTGACGTGCCCCTGGCGCACCCCAGCATGGCGGAAACGGTACGGGGTGCCAGCATCGCTCAAAATGGCAGCGCACATTAGCCTTTCTTGCAAACGTGTATAATAGCAAGAGTACGCGTGGATAGCTTTTGAAAGGCGCTGAAGACGCACAAGAGCGGAGATTTTGAAAACTCCTAATATGAAGTCACGCACCGGGAAGGAGGGGCTTCAGCGGTATTTTGGTAATAATTTTCTGCAGCCCCGTGCACCAAATTCAAAAATAATTTGGATATCTGTATTCCTGGAATCCAAATGAAGACGATTTAAGTGTGTTTCCTGAAATACAGAACCGCGCTTCAGTGTCCCTCCAATCAGACATTAGGTTTGTTAGTAACGTTCAAAATCCCAGTTTGTCTCTACGACGCGTCTCTGCTGGTACCCCTTTTATACATGCCGTGCACGTGACTTCAAACCGCATTCAACTGGTGGTCATTCCTACTTGTTTTTGCAGAGTAAAACAAATTGAATGGTGCTTAATGTATGCCCCAGAAGACACGCGCTGTGTAGAAAGGCATCCCCAATGGCCGCCAATGTGATGTCGGTGTAAGTAATTTATAGCCGCAGTCATGTGAGGATATTTGGGGTCACCGGCGGGATCCTGGTGTGGTTGGTGGTGGCTGTTGGCTTCGATGAAGTTTAGGTCAGACAGCCTCTGTGATTCGGCCAGAGGTTTATGTCTTCGCAGAATATACTTATTTTTATATCAGAAGAAAACAAAGGTGGAGACCAGTTGATGCTATTAACTTCCGGTAATGTTGGAAAGCCTTCTTCCTGTTTCTTCAAGAAGGTCTTGTAGAGCGATCGTGTTGCGGACCATCGCAATATGTCTACCGTGAATCGAGCTCGGCCTCGTCAGATTAGACAGATAACAATGCTCGATTTTGCAACGTGAGTCTTTACACGTCTGCTCCCGGTCGTCATCCTTTATTTTACCCATAATATAATTGTAGTACAGTTAACACAACCACTTAATTATAGACTTGAACTGGTGATAGCATGACAAAGGAAATATAATTCTAAAATACTGGTATACTGGTAAACACAAAGAAACATTTACGACTAAATGGAGATGTCGCTTTCTAGTCTTGGTCTCCTTCTATACAGTCGTCTTTCCATACTTCAGATGCTGTGTTGGAGCAGTTTTGTATGTAGACATCCAGACATTCCTGGGAAATAGGAACCATGGCTCCTTCTTCTGCTACTGAATACAATTCGCAACCTGGAAAACAAATACAAAAAAAGTTGATACATTAAAATGTCGAGTTGGAATTCAACTTAGAAAAACACTTGTCGATGCAATAATAGTTAACTGCAATTAGAACTTCAAGGAACCTTCCAATTCTTCGCTCGCAGTAACAAAGTGTTCGTATATTTCTGTTAAAGTTATTGGCACGGCGGAAAAAAAGTATCCTTGGTAGTCTGCAGCAAGCAGTTACTGGATATTATAATTCATGTACTAAAAGGCATCACTTTAGTGGCTACAACTGATGGTGGGTATTGGGTAAGGAGACAGGTGACGCTGTTTAAAAATCGTCAGAACCCCATTTTACGTAAAATTGTAAAAACAAAATATGGAGGACAAGTCTGTTAGGTTAGAAAAGTTTGTCAAAACATTCAATGAAACTCTTGGGAACTGCCACTGTCACTGCATTTATGATATACATGTTTAACTGACCTTCTCGAGTCTTGTGGTCTGCTGCCATTAACCGAAATACTTTTACAAAGTCATAGTTGCGCGAAGCGATTTCTGTAGTGCTTTTGCTTCTCAATGGGATGGCCGTTCTTCCATTTATGACAGCTGAGGTTATTTTTACAGTTTTACGGCGATTCTGGAATGTTCCAGTTTTATGTTGACAAATGTATGTATTACCGTAGAATGGTCCCCATTGCCTGGCATGTATAGACCCTACAAATAATCGCCTTCTGTCGTTGTCATCTTTGTCACGCGTGGAAGTGCGCGGTAGCTCTTCATTTTATGCCAAAATTACTTGGTACTTTTTGCGTGGGTGATAAGCGGCCGAAGAATATCTAAAAAATCGAATGAGGGACAATTCGAAGAGCACGTGTTTCAAGACTTGTTTTTGGCGCGCCGGAACGCAAGGAGGAGCACGCCACAAAACGGGACACTTAAAGAGCTTGCAAAAAATGCACGGCGACGACACGCCCAAGAGCACGTTGTGAATGCGTGGTTGAGATCGGGGGGAAAAAAGCTTGCGGGCGCATTGGGGCCTTAAACGAACGCACGAGGTGAGCAAAGAGCAGAAGAACTTGCACGCCGTACAGGCAGTCAGTTTTCCCTTTGTCGCCGTCACGGAATCAACGATTCCTATTTTTTTAGAGCCATAAGCTCGCCATAATATGCATTTATTTTATGGTTTTGAATTGAATGTAAACGTTTCACTTAAGTGTAAAAGTCGAAAAGTTTACATTCATGTTTATATTGTCAAATGCCATGACACATAGCTAAATAAAGTTTATTGGCAAATAAAGGATAAAATGGCCACCTCTCCACGTGGTGAATGATGTGGATTGGGGCGAAGGACTGATAGTGCTGATGATGCTAATTTAATTGTTCATAAATAGTGCTGATGGTGCTGATTTTTTTTTTCATTGCTCCTAGGTAGGTCTGAGTTCCGGGTTGCCGTTTCGACTTCATTATTACTGCTTTATGGTCGGTGAAATGCAGAGCCAGTGGTTCTTCTAGCGGATCAGCTTGGATCCGCTAGAAGCCATGGCAACGCCTCACCACCGCATAAGTCAACGGTCCATGTCGGAAAGAGAATATGTGGTATGGAACGTGGTTAGATATGCATTTGAGCATTTGACCGCGGCGCCCTCTCGTCTATAACGTTTGAGCCAATGCATGCAAAGTTTGACGCGATTATATACGCATTTGACCGCAGCGCCCTCTCCTGTGTAGACCTTGAGCGGCTATATGCAACGTTTCATGCATGACAGAAACCCCAGCTCTTGAGTTTCTACCACATCTCACAGCCCCCTACTGGTCAGGCAGTCGTGGCTGAGTGGTTAAGGCGATGGACTATAAATCCATTCGGGTCAACCCGCACAGTTTGGAATCATGTCGACTGCTCAAACATTTTTTTCTTTCATGTGAGCACGGACGCCGGACGGACGGACAGACGGACGGACGGACAAGGGTAGACCCTAAGGAGCTTCGCCCCTAATATTGTTATCTCCTATCTTGCCTATGCATAGGCATTCTAAATGAAACAAAACAAAATAAATAACGACATGCTACTGCAGTTTATCGGCCAATTAAAAGAAAACATTGTCTTTACACTAGACGTGTTTTTGTCACAAGTCGAATAGGAATAATGATATTCCCGAAAACCTAGAGACGAGAAAAAAGGACCTCTCTGTTCTCGGCTTTTCAGATATGCTTTACAAGTTTACAAGTGCATGAAAAACAACATAATTTTGTTATTGTGGTCCTTGTCTGAGCCTGTGTGGGTAAATGTGGTTTTATTTCATCGTTTAGTGTAAACTTACGTTGTCATTCGTACTATTTGTTTTTACGAAGCAGCCGATCAGCATATTAGCAGTGTCAGCCTTTTTATGTATGTTTATTAGTTAATAAACAGCCATTATTGACTAAAGCGTTAACTTGGAACGTCCAATCAATATTTGTTGAATGTCAAACAAATATATAGAAAAATATTTTATATAACCCAGGGACGCATCCTGACTTTCGCGGTTTTCAACTTGTTGTCACAGACGACCCAATATTTGTGTTAATAAAGGCGTGAGCCAAATACTACTGGTCGAAAATTCCGTGGAAGCATTACGTTCGTCTGTTTGTACATAATAATGAAATGGTAGAAGAGCGCTAAAAATACTGAGGACAGAAGGAAGAGTTGCAAGAACAAAAAGGCAATGTGTGCGTGCACTTTTTTTTTGGCGTTTACTTTTTAGTTTTTTGCTCGCTGTCACTTTATTTGAAGCTGCGTTCAATTGGCTTTTCTCAGGCGAGCCTTGGCATTCATTCGAGTGTTTGAGTAATACAAATGTAAAATCAATTATTTTAAAAAGTAGAAAACAAAATAGTTGACCTTTCCAAGTAAAAAAAAGAAACACGATGCAAAATGTTTAACAAAAATTTTCACGGATATTTCTTTGGATTTGTCCGCAAATACTGGGGTGGTTCTCTGCCTTTTTTAATCGTTAGCCGGTTAATCGTAAACCAGACTTTTTGAACTCGTGGGGAAAGAAATATATTGATAGAAATTAGTTTATTAAAAAGTACGTTTTACTTTTATCGTTTCCATAAAGAACGCATTTTGTAGAAGTTAATTTTGAAGACGGAATTAAAAGGGAGTAGTCGGTGGCATTTTTAAGGCTGCATCGAACTACCCGCGATCTTTAGCCCTCGCCTTTTTTTTTTTAAATCTGGGTGGTCTAGACGCACGAGGTCTATGGCGAAAGACCAGGCGATAATTACAAGATAAACGTATAGTTATTGCAAAATTTCTTAGCACGTCTAAGCTAACAAAAAATATTTGTTTGTAAGAATTATTTCCGCCAGATTAGCCTGAATCATAAGATATTTCGCGTTTCACTTTCTATATACTTGTGACTCCTGCATTTCTACAGAGATATTACGCACTTGGGGGAAAAGAAAGGGGTTACTTGGAGAATATACTAAAGATTTTGTAATGTTTTAAATACGTTTAGGAAAAAGCTTTTTTTTTTTTAAATGAAGGATACCATGAAATGTAGTAAATTTTTCCTTACCTGTCCCATCTTGTTCATGCGTTGCGCGCAGAACAGCACACGTCTTGTCTGGGTTGGTGAACAAAAATTTATACAACGGCGTATGAGGACCTAAATACAAAAAAAAAAGAAGATTAATAAAGAGTCCATGACCTTAATAACTTTAAGTGGAAGTTAAGCCGAAGAAAGGGGTAACATGTATTTAGTTGCATGGGGCTAATTAAACCCAGAGGAGTGAATATAACGAACCAACATAAATCGTGAACTGCTTATGACACACATCGTTTACATCTTGAAATTGTGTCTACGCGGAATGCTGCGACGCATGTGCGTATATTTTCTTTTAGTCTGTCTAGATACCTCTCGCAACGGAAGGCTAGAAAGACTAGAGACAAACATTTACTTGTCCTCCTCCCTCCCCCCCCCCCAAAAAAAAAACAAAAACAACAAAACTGATGCGCTTAAAAACCGACGACCACTTCGCGCTTTCCACTTTTTCCTCGCTTCTTCCTCTGCCCCTTCTACCCTGTCCAGGGTTGCCTGTTTCCTCCTCCCCATGATGACGAGGATCTTCTGCCTTGCAGAATCTCGAGTCTGGTCGTCGGTCTTTAAGACGGACAGTTGGGCACTGTAATACGTCACGCCAATTCACTGCGTTTTGCCTCGGTGAAATTTTGAGTCAAATTGTTACTGAAAAACACTTATGTTATCTTTAGCTTTTAACGTCGATAGTCCGCTTGCTCAAAGTACCTTCGCTATGAAGGCAGAAATATCCAAACTTCATTATAATACTTTGCCGCTGAAAAATGAAATCAATTGATCGACGCAGTGTCTCTGGTAAAGGAACGTCAAACAATAAAGACAAGGTGTTCTAAAAGTGATCTTCACTGGGGCCTTAGTCTTACCACCTCCTTTGCAGTAGCATTTTGTATTGCTGAGGACGAGAAAATTTTCCATGGTTAGCCTCGAGGGTGAAACGTAGTCCGCTTGACACTGGTAACAAAGTTTACTATTATAATCTTCAGTTAAAAAAATGCGGGCATGCGAGGACTTGAGTAGTATTTGCAAAAGACAGAATATAAACTCGGTCCAGTTAATTGAAGTTCTATTCCTTGGCAGCACGAAGAACTCAGGGCATTACGTTTCCTGAGCAACTTTTTACCGCTCCTTATCCGAACACACATTGCACCATTAGGCGATAAGACCGCCGAACAATGAATCAGGAAGCGACAAGCGCGAACAATATAGGATACAGCCAGGGTTTTTTATGCCGCCATTCGCAAGAATGCCCAAAAGACAAGAACGAAAGAGAAACACATATCGTAAATGCTTTCATTATGAAATTTGATGATTCATTGTCAACTATTCTTTTGTCTCAGCTGAAGTCGAGACACAGCTGATACTATGCACCTGACTTCTCATCTTGCAATCCGATTTCGGCAGGTCCAGGTTTTGCGTCGACAACCACGTCGGGTTCCACTCTTGTGCAACGAAATGGCCCAAACTTGCAGAAGCTTTTTTTGCAATCTAAAGAGAACCGACCTCAACCGCCACAAACAACGACCATGCCGGACTCTACACAATACGAAACGAGATATCGTCGCAACTATGGCTCCCAAGGGCCGGTTCTGCTATTTGTTGTACCCAATCATCTACGAAACAACAGTTTACTTGTCCTTGATCACGACGATCCTACCGTCATACTTCGTTTCATCTTACGTCCAGGCGCAGCCGACGCAGCGAGCTAATGGGACACATCGAACAGCGTCAAAAACGCAAGTCACTGAACCTTTTTTGTTTAGGATTCGTTTCGTGATGATATAACACGTACAGAGACTTGAGGAACACCATGACGGTGCTCTCTCGACGCTGTCTGATTGCTCCCATCAGTTCGTAGCGTCAGCTGCGCCTGGACTTGACTTAAATAGATCCTTGAATTCAAACAACCAGTAGCAGCTCTACTGGAAACAATTAAAAAGCGACGTGTCTTGAGTTTTTTTATTTTTTTATTTCATTAGTAGGGGAGTCGTAATAGCAAATTTAACGTTCGACGTAGATGCGTGGCACAGCCGGTTGCGGCGCGCCGAAGGTAGGAAAGCCTGAGGGCGGAGAGAAAAACTAGCCAATACGACGTCACCAGCGGGGTACCCTTGGTCGCCCCTAAGCTGGCTTGTGGATGTCGACGATGAGGTCACGACGCTCTGGACAGATAACAGGCGGCAGAAAGAATCGTCGCACGCCCGGCGTCAATCGCTGCACTATTTTTACACAATAAATACGGTTTACGGTTACGTTTGCCCAACATAAGTGCGATAACTGAATTTAAGGGACAAAAATTGATAAAGGTTAGCTCCTAACCGCATTTTTTAAAGTGATTTAGCTTTCTTTTAAACTCAAGCGATATTAAATCCAATTTTTGATCACTTTAATACAAAAAAATACAACTCGTTTTCTTGCAGAATATAAATATAATTGAGAAAGCCTGCTTTGTTTACTGATGCGACATTAGCCCTTGCTTCGTGAGGTAACACTAAGCTCTTTTTTAATGATGTTGATAACTTTTTATTTGGCCTATTGAAAGTGAGAAAACGTTACGATTTTTTTATGAATACTTACTACTTGGAAAGGTGAAGAAAAGCGCATTGTCCTCAGTGTGTGATCCGGAGGTGAATGGATGGACGGTTACGTTCAAGCTGTACCTAAAAGTTTGGAATAAGAAATGAATTTCGCATTTTCACTTTTAGAAATACTAATACAATTTTACGCTTACATGTTTTTTGAGCCCTTTAAGCGGTGCCTGAGAAGAGCCTGATACGTTCCGTTACGACGCCCCGATGTAACTTTCACGGATACGCATTCACTTGGAAGCTGTGGCGTATATGTGCGATTCAACATGTAGAACGTGTCACTGCTACACAGGAGCTGCAAATAAATATGTTAAGCTCACCCACACGTAAAGATATTCTCACGCACGCAATCACGCAGCATGATCACCAACTTGCTTTTTCACGCAAAACATCGATATGAAAGAGCCTACTCAATATCTGAGGGAAATATGCGTCCGCAGGCGAGTTGGTAAAAGGTTTACATAATCCCACATAAGGAGGGATACAAAAAACACACAGAAGAGATGGACAGCACACAACGTCTCTGATACAACATCTCGAAGACATTATGTGTTGTCTCTTGCTTTTACGTGTATGTCTTAACCTTGCTTATCTGTCTCGGGTTAAAGATACACCTTTTCCTGTCAAATAGCTCTGACCTAGATATTGAAGGCCCTCAGACTGAACGCTTTCAGAGTATCAGAAAATTAGTTTCTGATCTTATCTCTGCGCGTGTTCCGCCACTTGCACTCGTTCGCTGATGCCAAGAAAGAGCTTTGATCGGAAGGCATGCATCGATTCAGCGTATCAGCTCCAGACAAAGAATATTTGTTTATTCCGCGTTAACAGTATCGCAATAAATTGAAAGCAATGGGTGCCTGTGTTCTCGCACACGCTCAAGGCTTTTGAAAGCTATAAACCTTACATTCTTAACTTTGCTGTAATGAATATTCGTTGGTGGGTTGTAGGTCGTTGGGAGACTAGAGTTAGTGCAAAACGTTGGAGTTTGGCATTGAAATTGAAGTGAACAATCAGACCATCGTGGGGTAATCAATGCTAACTGCGGGACTGCCTTATAGGTGACCATGTGTTAATTGTGCTTCTTATTGTAAGCCGCCTCGCGGTGGGTCCGAAGCAAAGTGCCAGTCTTCGAATTCATCCCCAGTTGGCGGGATCGAATCCCGATTGTGTTGCCCGCTTTCTGCCGGAGGCTTATTGCGGAGAAGGTGCCGTGTAACCGAGATTCGGTTGCACGTCCAAAGATCCACAAGTTGTCGAAATTAATCCTCACTCCTCCGCTGCGGCGTGTGCCAGGTGCTCTTTGTTGGTTTGACACATGAAACCCGGCAATTTTATTTTATTTGTACTTTATTTTTTATGCATACAGTGGCTAGCGATATGAGGTGAAATGCGTAAAGGGCAACCGACCAGTACAGCTCACGTTTTCCAGCGGGGAGCGAGCCAAGCGGTTGAGTGGCAGCGGAGGTGATCATGATACCTGGCTTGCGGGGCCTGAGTGTAGCTTTTTGCCTCTGAACACTGTTTCGCGCATTTAAGCCTGAGTGTGAGCGATTGCTTTGCAACTGTTTTGTGACTACTCCAAACCAAATAACAATCTTGCACCATCAATCTATACGGTGGCCCAGAATCGTTCCCCGTCTGCGTCTATACTTCCGAATCTTAATGATCACTGTGGGCTTCAAATAATTGGGTCAATGTTATAGGCAATCATTTCTCATCGATAGTGCCTAGATTTAATGTTGCCAATACAACAGCACCTTCGGTCAGTAGTTATACGAGGTCGTAAGCGTTCTTCGAGTACCTTCTAGATTGCGCTGGTGTGTGTTCTCTTGACGTAAGCGGTGACATGCATATGTGTAACCCCTGCGCATTTTAGAAACTGGTAGCATTGCTATGTTTGTGTTTGCAACATGAAAAAAAGCAGAAAAATAAATGCCCATTTGTTCAATCTGAACACAGATCCCTAAGGCTTAGGGGCCTGACTGTAGAGGAGGGAGCAGCTTAATAAAAAAGAGTGTAATAAATTCTGAGAAAGACCACAATTTCTTTCCGATCAAAGAGAATAATCGCAAACAAAAGCGCCATCGAGGGGCCTCTTTAAATCAAGTATTATTTTAGAATCGCGCAAACGGCAATAGCTGGTATTGCATGCTCCCACCTAAAAAAAGGAAATTGTTGTGTATATGTTTATCCAGCCGGAAGTTAGACTACCTTAGTGGGCAGCTGGTTTTTCAGCTGTAGATAAGCAATTTAGCCAGTGCGGTACAACCGCTAGCCTAAGGTCTTGAACGTGCATCACAAAGTAGTGATACACGACAGCACACCAGTACGATGCTTATCCAGATCGAAACGAGCAGGCGTGGGGATTGAATTCAGGATTCTGGGTTCTGCAGCGTGAGCTTTCGGTTCATGTGCTCCGAGCCGGTGTGCGCTAGCCCACTCGACCACCGATCTCCACTTCTCCTACACACTAAACATTGTAACACCCATAATCGTGTAAAAAGGGTGTAAGAAGGGTGTACGCTAGAAAAAACACCCTTTTTACACGCTTTTTACACGATTTCTGAATATCGTTGGGTGTAAAAAGGGTGTGTTGACTTTTTACACCCTTTACACGCCCTCCTTACGCCCCACTTGCAACGATGGTGGCTGGAATCGTGTAAAAAGGGTGTATGGGCGAGTTTTACGCCCTTCATCCACACGGTGTGAAAGGGGCGTAACGGTGATGCTGTCAAATACAGCCATGATTTCATAGCCGTTCATATTGAATTGAATTGAATTGAATTGTTTTTTATTTAGACACTAGGTCAAGGGTAACAGGACAAAAGGCAGATTATCTCTGCCTGACGTGGTCCTATCACCCGTTTACAATGCAAGCAATATTTATTGCTTTATTACAATACAAAGCAATATTTATTGCCTTGGGGAAACTGTTGTTGATGTACGGCGGTACAAACATCGAGTATAATTAATCGCCACACGGAGTCGCGTATGATTAGGAAGTGCTAGAGAATAGTTTTTGCTACTCCTATTGAACTCTTCGTTCGACACGAGCCTAAAATTACGTTTCGCGCGTGCATCAGTTTTATCGGTTCAACCTAAAAAAAAAAATCATCTCCGTCGCAAAAAAAAAAAAAAAAAAAAAAAGAATGAAGACGTGTAAATATAAACCTAGGCAGCACACACTATTGCGCTGTTACGGAATTAAATCGGAAAGATTGCGTCGATATTATTTCGGTCTAGCCAATATCTGAAAAATGGGATGGGTCGCGCCGACGCTGTCCTGACCAGTGTTGTACACGTTCCTCAAAAAAAGGAACAAAAGCTCGTTCCTCGTTCCTTCTGATTTCTGGAACGCGTTCCCGTTACAAGTTCCATATGTGAAAAAGGAACTCGTTCCCGTTACAGTTCGAAAAATGGAACGTATCGTTACATATACGTTACATTTGCTTATTACTATATTTAAACGTGAAAACAGCGCAAAAAATTGAACAAAGGACAAGTGAAAGAAGTGCACGGACAAAGCACTGTTTTCCGTGCACTTCTTTCACTTGTCCTTTGTTCAATTTTTTGCGCTGTTTTCACGTTTGGCGATGTTCAACCAACTAGCCCAACTTACCGCCTTGTTACTATATTTAATTACAAAGAACAAAGTTGTTTTTTTTTTAATCTATCCCATCAAATGGCAACATACGAATTTGAATGCCGTGATGGAAGGGCACCAGGAGAAGAGAGCAAGCAACGCAGGGTTTCATTTGTTAATGTATTCATATTAAAAAAAAAAAAAGAACTTAGCTTTTAACCGCATTCATGTTTGTGGTGGGCGGAATCAAACGAGCAAAATATACTGTTACCCTACATTGCGCTGCGAACTTTAAAACAGTTGCTTCTCGATGTTGATATCCGCAAAACGATGAATGGAAGAAAAGGTTACGACTTCGGAAGGTCAGTGTTGAAAACTACATCTCCTTCTTCATGAAGGTTGACTTAGTCGTTCAGTTTGAAGGCGTGGGACTAGGGGAACACGAATGAAGGTTATTTTTTTGTATCTTATAAATAAGTGATCATTGTTCGGGATTCAAGGGTGCGTTCGATGTCTGGTAACATGTTATTTTGTTGAAACTCTAGGTCTCTGTGAAACTTCCATGATGGCTATAGTCTGCTTTATATTTCTAGGTATATGAGGAATCGTGGAAGCAATGAAATTAGCCCAGTTTGAAACGTCTTTTTTCTGTCTTTTCTTTTGACTAAAAGTTTTGCTCTTTTGTACTGCAGTTTTGGGCATTGAAAAAAGAAGCATCATTCACTAGCTTCCCTGCACCCGACTGTTACTGAACGAGGATGATACAAAATAAACCCTAAGATAATTAACCAAGAAGTTAGCGAGATTCTGCTCTCGGTAAAGATATTGTTTTTATACTTTTGAAACTTCCCTCGTAGAAATTAAAAAAAAAAAAAAACACTGCACGAGAAAAAAAGGAACGCCGTTCCTTTTTCCTTTTTTGTAAAAAGGTAATGAGTTCCCGTTCCAGTTCCACCTATGTAAAATGAAACGGTGGCGGTCCTTCGTTCCTCCTAAAAGGAATGCGTTCCAGGAACGCCGTTCCTTGGAACGCCGTTCCGTACAACACTGGTCCTGACATACTGCACTTGGCGCCGTTTTTGGTTGACTGTCAAGAGTGTCCTGCGTGAATCGGCTATGCCGGCGAGGTATTTCTATTCCTTGACTGTCTAAAATCCGACGTTAAAAAATAATACAAAGCAAGATTAAATGAAATAGAATCTGCTTACTTTTAACCTGAGAAAGACCTTTTCAGCTGAAGACTTGAACAAACTGTGGCGCCCTCATTTCGGAAATTACAAATTCACCTAACTGGGCTTCGCACTCCTTATAGCACCTTCACTGATACTTTATTTTGGAGTGTAGCTCTGAAGAAACAATGTCGCAAGACAATCGAAAGTGCCGTATTAATGACACCCCCAGGGACGCGACTCTTATCTCTGCGTAATGACACCAAAATATCTAGCTTTCCGACGCTTTTTTTCCGTTTTTTTTTGGTACACGTGAAACCGCGTCTTCGGCGGCGTTAAAAATGTTTTTTTTTTGTATTTATCTTGTGATCTCGCGGTCCGCACCAGATCATGCGCGTCTACAGCAGTGGCAGTTTGAGACGCTCAAGGTTGTACTACGCAAAGCAAGCCCCGGCGAGTTTGAATTCGCGACCTTCCCTGGGCAGGGCAGGTGGCAATACAAAGCAGCAGAGGGAGATTAGCGGCTTTGTCCAACCCCCTTTGACCTCGTCTTCTGATAAGCCTCGAAACCTTCTTTTATGTCTTCGTGTTGCTGTGAGCGAGTGCGAAGGCCACTTCTAGCAAATCAGAGGGGTGGCGCAAAACACGTGACCGCTCTCCGTAGGACAAGGACGCTTGGACGAAAATTTGTCACGTGATTCGCTCTGACGCGCTGATGGGCTACTGGGGCCGTAGTCTTTGCAGTATGCCAAGTTATGGCGAGTTGTAGGGGCCACGTAGGTCCGGTTTACAAAAAGGGGGGCGCCCGTCAGTGTATTCCTGTTTTTCGTGCGTTTGAGTCGAGGCCGTGATTTTTCGTCGTGAACGGCCGGAATACATCCATGCCAAGTTTTCGGAAATGGTCGTTTATTTCGTCGGAGTCCATGGAATTATTGTGCTGTATTTGTTGGACGCGTTTCGACAAAGAGCTGCTCATCGGTGGCCGCGAGACTTCCGTTGAATGTGACCGACCGCCTTCAACCTCGGCACTGTGTTTGCGTTGTTTTGTGCTGCCCGAATCGGATTACGCATCTATCACGACAGAGAGGTGCTCATCGGCGACCGCGAAACTTCCGCTGAATGTGAGCGACCGCCTTCATCTTCGACACTGTGTTTGTGGATTGTTCTGTGCTGACCGAATCGGATTATGCATCTATCACGGATTACATGAGATCGCTGTTTTATTTGTAAGTACTCTGCAAGCATGCTTCTGATTGTATTCCAAGGGGGCTATGTTCGACAAATGTTTCATTTCTCCCAAAAAGAAACGGAAGTGACGGAAGCGACGATATCGCGTTTGATTTTTGGAAGGTCAAAGGGCGAAAATAGGTAACTTTCATCATTTGAACCTCTAACCAATTAAACGCGATATCGTCAATTCCGCCACTTCCGTTTATTTTTAGGAGTAAGGAAGCATTTGTCGAACATAGGCTCCCTGCTTCCGTTTCAATAGACCATTTTACGGTTTACAAACATGAACTGCCGCTTACGTCTATAGCAACTCCCGGTCGTACCGTCTTTGCAAGCCTGTCAGTTTTGTCCACGTCACCAGTGCAAGGAAGCATAAACGTCACAAGATAAGTACAGTTGGAGATTTAACTAGGGCCTTCGGTTGTAGAATTTGAAGGTAGTTATGAAACAATATTCGGTTGAAATATTTATGACCTTACACGCACGGACCGCCATTGGTTTAGAAGCGTCTCGGTCGTGGTGGAATTGCAAGGATAAAAGAGAACTATTTCTTTTAGTCTTGCCTTCGCCAAGTTTGATGACGTGCGCGTGAACGTAGCTTTGACCTTTGGCACGCTTGTAATTGCACGCACTTCCCGCATAAGCAGAGACATGGCTGCGGCCAGATGACCTGCTTGCAATCGTCTATAGAGAATTTTGTAGAACCTGTTAGAACCTTGATTAAAAAATAAAAAGTGAACCAGGCATTTGCAGTCATTTTCTCGTGCACTCTTTTGGGTTATTACGCGCAACTTTATGGGTGTTGGTAATCGCGCCTTTTTTTATTTCCCTTTCTGGCGGTGATACACACAGTTTAGAGGGGCGGTGATACACACAATTTAGAGGGCGTACTGTGCAGACACAACGCCCTAATAAAAAGGTGTACAGTAGAATCACACCCTAATTGAAAGGTGTTCGGAATAACGCCGTCATTTAAGGGTGTTAGGGAAAAACACCCTAATTTAGGGGCGTTAGGAATAACGCCCTTTGTTTAGGGCGTTTTGCTACGCCCAAATGGGTGTTAGTTATAGGACAAGCCATTTACACCCACAAGGGTGTTACGATGTTTAGTGTGTACCTAAAGAAACACAAATTCTAGTTCTTTCTAATCAAGTTTCACAGTAAATAACGGTCGTTACAACATATAGGCCAGAATGCGGTTCTTTACAAGAACTTCTAACAGTTACTTACCTCACTTGCGTGTTGGTGTTCAAAATTGTTTGGATCATCTTCGTAAGGCGTTTTTTGCGAGCTCACAGTGGACGAAAGCACAAATTGCTGGCTGGTTGCCACGAGGAAGGTTGCTAGTGCAATTGAATAGAGAGGAATTTTATGCTTCGAACGTAATTCTTATATCGCCTAAAATATCGTCCTTTTATACGTTCTTAGAACCATTGACTACGTAGATGTAACGTAAAGAAAAGAGCGTTTGAGAGTTTTTATTGGTAAGTGAACTATTGTCTTCTGCCGAACGTCAGTCGAATTCCCGTCGAAGGATTAATAAACAAAATACTCTAAAAAATTCCTCGAATGAACAGATGGAAGCATTGTTGTTCCAGGGTACCGAACGCTCCCACATCATCGCATTTTTTCAAGTTAATTATAAAGAATACTGTGGCCAGATGCGATAATTCGCTGCATTTCGGCGGCACGTGGAAAAGCGCCGGCTGCGCACTCCGACGTCGCGATTTGAAATATCACTTTGTTGTTTACGACGCGTATTGGCTTTTGCACCCGCGTGCGTTTTCGTAATCGCCAGTGCGTAATGCGCGTTAGAAATACTGTGTTATCAGGCGCAATGCACTGTTCATATTTCCTTTCTACCAAGAAACCCATTTCGGTCTCCGCATCTGCATGTTTTGATTGAAATGAGCCTCGTGCACCTGTGCGTTGTGAAATTATAGGGAGTTTTAGAATAACGTACGTAATTTTAGCGCATGCTAGAGCTAAATTTAGGACTTGCGTTAGCGCACGACGCAAGAGGTTTTAGAATAGCGTTTCTCGGCCGCGAAGCAAAAGCCCAAGCACCTCGCTCTTGTAACGCCTGCAAGATACAGTCACCATTTTTTTTTCACACACGAAATGCTGTAACTTGAAAAAAAAACAAGATTTCTTATTTGTTCTTTTGTCGAGAGTAACATTTTAGATTTGTTTAAACATGAGGATATGATGCAAGCGGTTTACCGGTTGTGTCCGCTTGCGTCGCCTCCACAAGAGAGGTCTCGTGTATACTGACCTTCGCACACCCTACCTTCGCCGAGAAACGTTCGGGCGTTTAAAACATCAAATTTCCTGTGATCGTTGCCTACATTACTGGGTTTTCCAAACCGAGTGGAACATCGTCCCGTATTGGAACTTGAAGTCGCGAGGATGTCGCCGATATCGGGCTCACGACGCCGCCAAAGAGGCCGCAGCCATGATCCTGGGAACCGCCATTTTTTAACTGTGCTCGTCTTGGCAACCTTCTTGGCAACCAACTTCTCATCACGAATCCTCCTTGGAGGAGCGCAAAGACTCTTTGCGTATACGCACGCAATTTCCGAACAATAGAGTACATTAACATAGCGCACACAAAGCGCAAAACGTGGTTAGCGTTCGGCGCAGGCGCACTGGCGACGATGCAATTCTGTGCGTACGCAAAGCTTTAGCCTGCGCAATTCTAAAACTGCCTTATCGTTCTGCGTGATGCGCGTTAAAATACCAACTTGGAGGTCCGCAAGCGCAGGCTAAATTTCCCATCTGCGGATGAACGCTTGCGGTCATGCCACAAAGGACAGAAAAAACCTGCCGCTTTGTAAGTATCCATGTGACCACTTCGATTTTTGCCACCATGATTTCAATATGGATTACAGTTAACCCGCCCAATTATATCTAAAACCGATTTCACTGTTGGTTTAGACGGATCTAACATAGGCTATCCTCCCATTTGTTAACAGTGAATATAAACGGTACCAATGAGTTGGTCGATATTTTAATTGTTTCAAATTAGGGCGGATTTCGGGGATGTGGCGTAGGGCGAGGTCCCCGACCCCCTCCCTTCCTTCCCCCTAGATCCCCCCCAAGGGCCACTTTTAGAGCGCAGCTCTTAGGCGCTCGTTCCCGGGCTTCGAGGCATCGCCGTCGGCGTAACCGCGCGCGTTGCATGCTGGGACGTCACAGACTTATGCACCAATTCAATTTCTCGCTAAATTTAGCGAATAAACTGAATTGGAGTGTAGGTGTGTGACGTCCCATAATGCAATACTCCGTATTCAGTTTCACCGCTAAATTTAGCGGTAAAACTGACGTCACATGACCTCAACACCATTTCAGCTTCCTCGCTAAATTTAGTGGGGAAATGAATAGGTGTTAAGGTTACGTGGCGTCAAGTTTCCACCTAAACTTAGCAGAAAAACTGGGGGAGGAGGAGAGGGTACGGAGGGGAGGATGGGAGGACACTCAGGAGGGGAGGGGAGGGTACAGAGGAGAAGGAGGGGCATAGCCTCCCCTCCTCCACAAGACCTGCGGTCGAATTTCGTATTACGGAGATTTGTAAAACGTCTAATTTTTCTTTTTCTAAAGCCACACACACCAGCATTTTTTTCGTCCGAAATGTTTTCTTTTTGGTGAAGTTTTAAATACGAGAATGATGAATACATTTTTTCCTCTTGTGCTGTAACTTTTTTTATTCAGTGATGGATTCGAAAGAGGTTACAGTCTAATGAAAATGATGAACACTTTCCCAGGAGTTTGTTGCCTTTCAATATAGTACCTACCGGTGTCGATGCGCCTTCGCTATCGGTGCATTACTCTCGGCATGCCGTCGTAGGCGATTGAGGGCCGTTGTTGACGACTCTAACCCAGATATAGAGGGACTGGAGTTCCAAATGTTTTGCCTATTTAACCTTACAGCCCAGGGATCTTTCACTATCTGACTTTTAGGCTGTTTTCCACAATAAAGGAATATCTGAAGAGTACACGGCTTTCGTCCAATGACGAGTTTACCGATGCAGTGCGCCGTTGGTGTTTTTAACTGTCTCTCTCAATCATCTACGACGGCATGCGGACGGTAGAGCACCGATATCAAAAGTGCATCGTCGCCGGTGGGTCTATATTAATCAGTCACGTTTGGGAAATTGGAGATTCCAGACATCAATTAGAATATAGCAAGTCGCTATTCTATCGCTGAAAAACAAACTTATATCACAGGAGGCAAAACGTATTGATCACCCCTGGTATTAGGTTGACATAACCGATGGGATAAAGCTTCGCCGATACTGCCCCCACCCTCCCCCTGCTTCAAATCCCTATGGACCGCTCATGTCCAGTTTAAATGTTCACTTTGCTATTGTTTATTTAAAAAGAAACCTATGTTTTCGAAAGAGAAAAAAAACAATCTCCTCATGCTTTTCTTTTTATATAGAAAAAAATTAAAGATCACTATATTTCTTTTGAGACACGCGCAGTTAAGCGATCAGCGGCAACATAGACAACTCATATCACGTCTTCAGCGTGAGTGTAGTTCATAAAATTTCTTTAATTAAGTTGGAAGAAATTTGATAAATTATTTTGATGTTGGCATGACAGAGCGTTCTGTGACATAGTTTCCTAAGGACCGTGGGTTCTTTTAGGTAGGGGTAAAGATCTTCTCTATTTCCTGGAAGAAAGAAACCCCTCGAGATTTATGCATTCAGTTAAAGATTATAATAGGGTTTGACAGAGTCATCGGTCAGAAACTATTACCCACTAAGTTCGGCGTTGCGCGTTGGATGTTGCCAAATCTTATATTTGAATTTATCGAAATTACAAAGCGCAAGAGACAGACACGGACATGAAGTAGACAATGCAATATGTTGTGTGTATGTTTATAAATCCAGAAGTTAGTCTGCCTCAGTGGGCGTCTGGTGTCTCAGCTGGAGATAAACAATTTAGCCAGTGCGGAACAACCGCTAACCTGCGGTCTTTAACGTGCACCACGCAGTAGTGATACACGACCGCACGCCGTTACGATGCTCATCCCAATCCAAACGAGCCGGATGAGCATTGTACCGGCGGGCTGTAGTGCATCGCTACTGCGTGGAGCACGTTAAAGACAGGACAGCGCTACACTCAGAACTGGGCTTTTTAATAGACATCTAAGGAAGAGAAGTAACAAGCGATAGAAGTTATACAAAAAAAAACAAAAAAATAAAAACAATATAATAAAGAGGTAGGAGAATTATAGTCACTGTAGATATAAAAAAAAGTAAAAAAAAGAATAACAATAAAAAAGTTTTTCAAAGACATAAAAAGATAACTCTTAACATTATTTAAAAAGGACTTTGAATGAAGAAGAAAGTTGAAGGATAAAGTGGGCTAGTTGGTTCAATATGTTGAACCATCTAGCCGACCTCAATATTTTCGTACTAATATTTGAACTTTTCAGCAGAGTCTTTGAAAATTGAAGTCCCTGAACTATTTGCACAAAACAGGAGTGAAATTTTTGTGTAGGGGTATGAAGAGGTGAATAACTGGTTCCAATAAACCTTTATAGTGCTTAGGCGACTTCGTCAAAACAAGAATAACTTCGGTGGTACCTCTAGCCAAGCATGCACGACGGAAGGATATTTCGAGTTTTGAGTTTGATTCTCTGACGCAATTCACGTTATGAAACGTTCCTACAAAGTAAAAGCAACATTGCTCTCATGGTTCTTCCCCTAGGGTATAGGGAGGACGACAATATGGTGTCTTGGAATGTTTTGACGTTTCTTAGGTGATTGCGGTATTGCTATAACCTGACGAATATCACAGCCATCGCCAAGCAAGCGCTTTGTCATAAAAACCTACGCGATACCGAATGTATTTCCCGGTGGCAGAACACAGCCGGGGGAGAAAGTTTTTGCTATTCCAGTAGCTAGCGTTTTGGAAGGCAGTGATGATTCAACCCCGGCGGCTGGCTCAATTAAGCGTGATGTAAAAACTTCATGATCGAACGACTTCAATTTTGTTCTAAAAACAAAGTGCAACACATTGATTAACAAAAAAAGTTCCGCAGCGCGCGAGGGAGGGGTGTTGCTATGGTTTCACCCGGTATATGTTATCCTTCCTCACCCAAAGGATTCTCGCTCCAGCACTAAATATAATCTCAGAAGGGTACGCGTCCACGCGAGATCGTGCAATGATGATGCGGGTCACATTTGGTTTTACCTATAAATATATATGGTAAAACCATGTTCTTAGGAGGAGCATTAACATATATGCGAATGCGTTAGCTACTTTTCTTCCGCAGATGTCAAATTTCGAAGCTCGAGGCGTGGAGATTGCCAACGCTTCGCTACGGTATTTTGCACATCCTTGAAGTTCAAACTGAGCATGCATTGAGTAATAATTTTTTATACCTATTTTATGGAAGGTCTCTGACATGTACACGGAATAATACAAATTAAAATAAAATATTTTTATGCAAAAAAAGCGAATCACGTAAAATAAAAACTTTTTGGAGACACATTCATAAATTATTTACCATGAAACTACTTTATATACGCAAAATATGTGAAAATGATAATCTTTAAATGTTTTTTAAATAGATAAGAAACATATGCTTAGTCGCCATTCTAGTTT